TCTCTTATGGGTTGATTTGCAACAAAGTGCATGTACAGAAATTCCATTTTATTGAAGCTTGGTCAATTTAGAATAATGATTTTGTTTACAATTACTTTTCAGAATTTAGCAATGAATCTAATAATGAGTCAGTCTCAAGTTCATGGAGCAGTGATGATTAAAATATACAATAATAATTTTGTGTATATACATAGCTTATTATATTATATACATGCAAAACTTCCACTATTTTATTATAGTTAAAAGTTGAAAATTCAGACAAGATTCAGATGCTGAAAAATTAATTTCAAATGTATACTCAAAACAGCATATAACATATAACACACATAACTTGTTTTATTTATATATTTCTTTTTAATTATCAGTTTTTGCTATTACTTTTACTGTATCATTCTTAACATATCATTTAACTGGTTTAAATTACCATTTAATCAATGGCAATTTAAACCAGTTGTATCAATATTTTAATCTATTTTAAAAACAGCAAATATTTTGCCTAGTTGTTTAAACTTCTATTTTTTAATACCAATGGTTCAATTTCCAATCTAAATTAGTTTAAATTTAAAAATACATTTAGTTTAAAAGTAACTTTAATATTGTATACTTATCTATAAACATTTTTGTTTTTAGTTCAAATATTTTACTCTAAAAAAACCTAGTTATGGCGTTTGCTGTTATATAATTTTGTGAGACAAATCAAGTAGAAATTATTTCTACAAATTGGCTTTTTTCTGACAAAGAAGAGTTTTGTTTGTGGCCTCCAAAGAAGTTATCAACAAAAGCATAAAATATGGCAAAAAATAGTGTCACCTGATGCTTAATGGGATGAATTTCAAATTTATGTCTTGGGAAAAGCTGGTATGGAACATTATTATTGTTTTGGGATTATTTCCTATAATGTTTTTCAAAGTTTGTGATTTTATTGAATTATTTTAAAGCCCCATTATTGGATCAGTTAATCATATCGCCAAGACAATAAGTATTACTTTATATATATTAATCATTATTTTAACTTATTCAGCAACTTACACAAGAGCAAATGGAATATGTACACAATTGTTACAAATATTACACAAGAGCAGTTGGAATATGCAGAAGATTATTCTGATTTAAATTTTACGGAGGATTTTTAAAGGAACAGGGGGTTGAAGAAAAAAAAGTCCTTATTAGACAAAAATGTATTAATATTGTCCGTTCAATAATTGTATAAATATTAAGTGTATTAGTGGTTAATTTTATAACTTTCAATTTAATAATTTCAAATGTTTTTAAACTATTTTAGAAGAAATTTGGTGATAATTTCATTTATGGTTTAGGACTGCAACTAGATAAATTTTTTCAGATTTTGAATCTGAAATTAAATTTGAATATGACAGATATTTTCCTCTTGAGAAAAAAAAATTAACTAAAAAAACTCAACGAAGTACCACGACCCAAATTCTTCCCCCTTTATATTCTGTGCCATTGTCTGTTACGACATAAAGTTCACCAACATTGATATCAACTTCACCAGTTATGCAAATATCTCCTGAAACACCATTTTTATATTTTGACATAGCAACATAAACAACACCAACCCAGTGTCCTTGTTTATCAAACATGGCAATAGACTATTTTTCAAGGACGGTAACAACAACATCACCAGTTCCAAATATTGGTAAGTTACATAGTTTAAAAACCAAATGCGTACCTTGCATATTTTTCAATGTATTTGATTTCAAGCTGAATCAGCTCTTTGTAATTTGATTTTCATTATTTATGATTTATGGTATTATAGTACAGTCAACATTATTGTAGATGTTGTAACAATACAAAACATTGGGAACGCATTATCTTGCTTTAATAAATCTATTAAGTGATTATTTATTGTTGATTATTTTGTTTTTTTCAGAATAAATAAATGACTATACATATGACAATGTAAGTAATTGTTTACACTTTAAAAAGATCAAACAATGCCTGGATTAGTGGGATAAGATAATTCTTATGGCCTAGGTCGTATAATTTTTATAATCAGTTCAATAGAAAATACCCAGCAAACACAGACTGGTTTAGAATTGGTCAATATTTAGTCAAAATTGGTCGTTAAATTGACAAAACGTTTAGCGACCAATTATTGACCTAAAATAGACGCTTGATTTTTGATCGGTATTTTAAATATTTTGGCATATACGTTTATTAAACGTCGATCAAACGTTTAGAATATCGACTTGCATTAGTCATTATCTAAACGTTGGATCGACGTTCAATAAACGTATATATTAAAATGACTTAAGAATAACACGACTTTTGAGTTTTTTGAGTTTTTTATATTGAGTTTCACTCAATATAAATTAAACGGAAAAAAAATGTTTCATTAAACGGAATAAGAATATAAATATTGCTAAAATAATAATTTTTTAACTAATAATAATACTCTAACAATATATAATTTTTTTCCATTTAATGCAAATATTTATATAACATAGTAAGGACGATCGACCTTTTATATATTTTTTATTTGAAGATGAAAGCGTCTATAAAAAAAAACCCTCTTATTTTATAGTTTGTGCATTTTTATACTTTTTGGCGGAAATAATTTTTTTTTAATGAAAAAAAAATTGTAACGTCAAACTCGCTTTTATATTGAGCAAACCATTAACAATTGCCAATGGTTTGGCATCACTTAAGATATAAAATTTTATGTTTTTTGAAATTTTTACACTTTTTACACGTGATACACTTCAAACCTTTATAGGTTTGAAATCTATCCTTTTAACTATTTAATATATAAGTTTATTTAACGTAGATCCAACATTTAGATATTGACTAATGTAAGTCGATATTATAAATTATAATATAATTTATAATAGCGACTTTTTGTTTGTTTTAATTTTTTTTAGTCTATAACAGACTATGAAACGGACACAAATTTACGTCGCTCTGACGTCAAACGTAAACAATCGAATTGGCAGTCCTGTTGAATGAGGTGCATTTCACAAAATAAGAGGAAATCCTTAAGGAATTTGTAATAGTTAAGGGGGTGATGAAAAAAATAATTATGAGCACATGCCAAAAAATAGGATATATATACATCAATAAACAAATATAAAAAATATTTAAGTTATGCGAAGAAGTGTAAAGTTAGCAGTACAAAGGATAACAAGATTATATTACGTGAATAAATGGTTATTAAAGAAATGGGAAAGTTTGACCATGAGAAAAAGTGGATATATTTTTTAACAGTGCTAAATTTTTGTCATGCTTATTTTTATAGAAACATACATGCTGTTCGATGTGACTATAAGTTATAGACTATATAAGCTACAAACCCTGAACCCTATGACTATATAAGCTACAAACCCTGAACAGCATGTTTGTTTATAAGCATGGTGAAAATTTAGCGTTATTAAAAAATAGGCCAACTTTTTCTCATGATACAAATTATTGTAAGTATAATTATTATTTATAAGTAAAAGTATCATTTTTTATGTAATAGCATAACATAACAAATTATTTATTATTGTTTAAAATATTTTACTAAAATGTTTAATAAGTAGAGTGAAATGGGGTAAAACTAACACTTATATTTATAATTATATTTTTTTTATATAATTAAATGATTTTTTTAAATAATTTTTGTTTAATTTTTGTTGAAAAAGATGTGCTCTATCCGAATATGTTAAAAAAAAAAAATCTCTTAAAGTTTTTTATTAAAATAAGTTTATTTGAAAAAAAAAAGTGTTCAGTTTTACAATTATGATAAAACTGAACATGCCAAAGACTTTGGCAAAGTATTGATAATTAATTACTATTTAAATTTTTTTTTAAATTGATTTAGATCTGTATAAGAAGTTGTTAAAAATAAGTTATAGTAAAGATTTGTACAGGAAATTGTTAGCTTTTTAAAATAAAAGATAAGTTTGAAAAATATTATCATTCAGTTTTACCTGAAAATATGACTTTTTCAGTGATTCAGTTATAGCTGTTTTTAGAAAATAACAATTTTATTTCTGAAAAAAGATTCTTGATTGTAACTTTTACTACAAATACATCTTCTTACTTTAATGTTATTTCCTTTTTTTTCTCCAAGATTTTAATGACAGTATTAAAATAAAATTAAAAAAAATTAATACTCATGTTCAAACTTTTGAGTTTGCTACAAAAATTATTAATTGAAATTTTTTAATTTTTATGTCATTAGATAAAGCACAAAATTCTCTATAATTAATAACATTTTCATAAGTGTTCAATTTTCTCTGGTGTTCAGTTTTACCCTATTTTACTCTATCTTCTTTAGTAAAGAGGTTATTTACTAATTAAAAATTATATATAATTTACGGATTTTCTAGTCGTTATTTATTATTTATATTTATTCCTGCTACCAATGAGATAACATTGGTTGAGTATTTTTAATATGTAAACTATTTGAAAATATATTACTTATTAAATATATTGATTTTTAAATATGCAATGTAATACAATTGATTATATATATATATATATATATATATATATATATATATATATATATATATATATATATATATATATATATATATATATATATATATACACACACATATATATATACATATATATGTATATATATATACATATATATGTATATATATACATATATATGTATATATATACATATATATGTATATATATACATATATAATATATATGTATATGTATACATATATATGTATATATATATACATATATATGTATATATATATATACATATATATGTATATATATATACATATATATGTATATATATACATATATATGTATATATATACATATATATGTATATATAATATACATATATATGTATATATATATATACATATAATGTATATATATATACATATATTTTATGTATATATATATACATATATATGTATATATATACATATATGTATATATATATACATATATATGTATATATATACATATATATGTATATATACATATATATGTATATATATACATATATATATATATATATATGTTTTTTGTTTTGTTAATCTTCTCTTTAGTTTATTGTTTCAACACATTTTGAATGTACCTACTAAGCAAGTAGTACTTGCCTAAAAAAAATTAAATGTTTTATTGTGTTACTTTTAAATTAGGTATACAGTGCATTTTATTGATAGAAAATGACTTCAGAGTACCAAAGAAAATATCGAAAGGTGGTAAAGGAAATGGGGAGTTTTTCAAATGCTGAAGAAGTTGTGAAACAGGATAATATTGAGATGTTACGTGATATTGACTATAATGAGGATGATTTTGAAACTAATAACCTGAGTTCAGTTACTAGTAGCTCGGAAAGTGAAGGTGATGTAGGATCAGATAGTAGCAATGAAGAAAGTTTGAGAAACGATTTGGCTGATTTGGCAGTTACAAGTAAAATGACGCATGTTCAAGTGAACGGAGTGCTTAGTGTCTTGCGGAAGCATGGTTTTGATGTTCCAAAGGACAGTCGAACTCTTGTAAAAAGCACAAGAACAATAGTTACATACAAAAAATGTGGTGGTGACTATTTGTATTTTGGGCTTCGAAAAATCATCACACAATCTTTAGAAATAGATGACAGTAATGAAATTCTGAACTTGAAAGTAAATGTGGATGGTATACCTTTGTACAAATCATCTAGCTTACAGTTTTGGCCAATATTGTGTTCGATAAATAATTCTACTCCTATGATTGCCGCTCTTTTTAGTGGAAATTCTAAACCAAACTCTGTAGATGATTTTTTGCAAGATTTTATTTATGAGGTTAAGGAACTCCAAGAGTATGGATTTAGTTATAATGAAAAAACTTATACCCTTTTATTGCAGGCATTTATATGTGATTCACCGGCTAGAGCTTTTTTAAAAAATATTAAAGGTCATAACAGTTTGCATGGGTGTGAACGATGTTGTGCAGTTGGATTGTCAGTTAATCATCGTACAATATTTGTTAACCCAGGTTGTTTTAATGCAGAAAGACGCACTGAAGATAAATTCTTCAACTTGGCATATATTAATAGTCACCAACATGGTCCAACACCATTAGTACAAATAACAAATAACTGTTTAGGCATTTTTTCTCTGGACTACATGCATTTAGTTTGTTTGGGTGTGGTTAGACGAATGCTTCAATTTTTGAAAAAAGGAGATAGAGTAGTAAGATTATGTAGCCGTCAAATTTTAAATATATCTGAAAACCTCCTTGAATTAAGAAAGTACATCCCTAGTGAGTTTGCGAGGCGTCCTCGGGGACTGATTGAATTGGATAGGTGGAAGGCTACAGAATTCCGCCAATTCTTGTTATATACAGGTCAAGTTACATTAAAAAGCATATTAAAATCAGATTTGTACAAACATTTTTTAACATTGTCTGTTGCTGTTACTATTTTGCTTTCACCTGATAAAGATAAACGAGTTCAATATCTTGAGTATGCACAAAAACTATTAGAACATTATGTTCGACACTGTCAAAAGTTTTATGGAGATAATTTTGTTGTGTATAATGTTCATAATTTACTCCACCTAGCAGATGACGTACGCTTTTTTAATTTATCGCTTGATGAAATTAGTGCTTTTTCATTTGAGAATTTTCTCCAAACACTAAAAAAGTATGTTCGGACACCAAAAAACCCACTTGTCCAAGTTGCTAAGAGGATTGAAGAATCTGAAAATATTGAACATATTCGAAAAGGTAATATTAAGTTAAAACAAAGAGAATGGAGGCTATCAACACTTCCTAGAGACTCAATAGTGTTGCTTAAAAATAACACTTATGCTCAGATTATAGAAGTTAGAACAAATGGATATTTTTGCTGCCTTTTTGACTGTTCCTATCTACAACCTTTTTTTATAGAACCATGTTCTTCAGCACTTGTAGGTATCTACTATTCAGAAAACCGCCATAAACATACCAAAACAAAACTGGTGACTAATGAGGATATTGCAAAAAAGGGGCTTAAACTGCCATGTGAAGATGGATATGTCCTTATGCCGTTTCTGCACTGTAACGAGTAGTAGTAAATTGTAGATAAAATAAATATTTATTAATTTTCCATTGGTTTTTATTGATATTCTAATAATTTTTTTTATGCTCTTTATGCTATAGTATTATTGTATGGTATTTTTTTTGTGTCAAGTTTCAAAGTTTAGTTTTCTATGGTTATAATTTAATATATAAGATGATAATTTTAATATAAAATTTTAGAAGATATCATTTTATTTTCCAGGTTAGATATAAATAAAGTTTACACTTTTGTAAAATATAGATTTCGGTTAAAAGACGCTTTAATGCAAAATTTATACACATAATTATCAGGTAAAAATTATATATACATACATACTATATATATAATATATATATATATATATATATATATATATATATATATATATATATATATATATATATATGTATATATATATATATATATATATATATATATATATACATATATATACATATATATATATATATATATATATATATATATATATATAT